TTTATTTTATTTTATTTTATTTTAAACAAGTAGGAAAAGATAGGATGCAGTAGGCCCTGCTGGGAGAAAACAAGCTTTGTGCTTCATATCCACTCATGGTGGAACAACACCTCAAAGACTGTGGGTGCCACTTTGGGTACAGTGTCCTGGTATGAACATAAATTGTATACTTTTTTAATCGCTTTCCAAAGATACGGCTCTTAACAGCTCCATATCTCAGCTGGATAACAAACTCTGTTAACAAAGTTTTTTGGTCATGAAGAGAAATTTATGGAATGGTGAAGGTGGTGGTAAGTTAAGAGAAGTAACAGAGATTCATGTCACTGGGACATGTGGAAGTATGCCCAGTGGGACACCAGAGGAAGTTGTGTTACTGGAGGCAGCAACTCCTTTATAAAAAGAAATGAAAAAGGATGAGTTAAATTACTTTTTACCCTAAGGTATTGGGTTATGATATTTTTAAAATAATTCTCCACAGAACTCCTTAAACAGCAACCTTTAACTGTTGTTTTTGTTTAAATAACCACATTTGCCACTTATATACATGCTATAATTTATCCCTCATATCTAATTCAGCAAGCTAAAGAATGTATGCAGTCAGGAATTTCTTGTCCTGAAAAACATCTGCAGGGAAAACTCAGGTGCAAATTCGGTATTTCATGGAGTTATGACAATCCTCAGGAAACAGTTGAAAATCTTTTCTGGAGAAACTTCTTCTCATATATCTTTCTTCAGCAATTATAAAATGTGTTCTTCATTCAAATAATCTGCAGAGCAAAAGCCAAGGCCAAAAAGGTTGTTCCTGTGGAGAGGTTTACACTTCTCATTTTGTTTCTCGTATTCCTGCAAAGTGAATTTGTAAACACCCTATTATTTATGCAGAATAAATTTATCCCATTCTTTCACATTTACAGGATTCTGACTGTACTGTCTGTTCGAGTGTTTTTTTTTCCTTTGTCTTTCCCAGCTAGTTTCAAGCTCACCTTATTAGCCCAAAAGTTTTTGTCCAAGTTTTGATAATCACCCTTCTAGACATAATAATGCATTTCAGCTCTGCAATTCACCATGGGTTTTCCTCATCTAACACAGTAAATAAACTCATTTCAAACATGCTAATAACTTTACAGTACATGCCTCTTTATGTTCTAGTCTAGTACCAAGTTAACTAGATTTTACTAATTTATTGTATCCTTGCTTCTGTTTTCTCCTAATTCTCTTTCTTTTTGTGTATTCTAGGTTATGATTCCAATTTCTTTGTATGTATCCATTGAAATAGTTAAAATCTGCCAAGTATACTTTATTCATCAAGATAAAGATTTATATGATGAAGAAACAGACTCTCAGCTGCAGTGCCGAGCTTTAAATATCACAGAAGACTTAGGTCAGGTGCAGTTTATCTTTTCAGACAAGACTGGGACACTTACTGAAAACAAGATGGTTTTCCGAAGGTGCACTGTTTCTGGAATAGAGTATTCCCATGATGATAACGGTAAGCTCATTATCTTGTTTTCTATCTAACAAACAGTTGTACTTTGGGCAATCTGAAGTAGATATAAAAGCTACTGTAATCTTAAATCAAAAGGAAAAACAAAAGAAATTGCATGTATCCACTCAGCAAACTCCATAATAACTGTTTTCAGATTAGTATAATTTGATGTCAGTGTTCAGCTAGCAATGACAATCTTATCAAAGTGTTCTGTAACCACATCTATAGTATGTTCTCAAGACAGTTAAAGCTTCTGGCTTTAGCTCCTGATCTAGTAAAGCACTTGAGCACATGGCTAACTTAGGCAAATTGGATGGTGCCACTGGTATCACAATTGTTTGTGTGTTTGAAGTATACTATGTATGTAAGCGTACAGCCAGATTAGCGTCTGATTGAATACCTGGAATGAGATTATCCTTTTGTGCTGAGAAATAAATGTAAACAAAGCTGCTGGGTTTCATATTAACAAGAAGCATAACCTGATCTAATAGCATATTTTATGTTACCTTTGTCAGATTCTTTACAGTTCTCCTGTGTGACAGGTGTCTGCATTAAGGTATCTTCACTGCTGTATGAACACCGCAGTTAAGGGAATGTCCCCATGTATCAGGTTCCTGAAACACTAAAAAGTCACTCTTTGTCACAAGGGAATGTGAGGGTTGTCATCCCTGTGCCATCTCATCACCCTTTTAAAATTATGAAGCGATTTCTTGTTTTGTGATTTGTTTGTAATTTGTGTTATTTTCCTCTAACATTTTGTTGTTATCATTTCTGAAATAACAGATCTTAACTCTTCAAATCATACTCTGTCTGTATGCAGGAAAATATTGATAGCTACAGTATTGCATTCCTATTTGCAAAAAGTAAGTTTCTTAATCTACGTGACATATAAAGATCACTGATTAGAAAGTTTTCTCAAAGACCGTTACAGAAGTTCGGCTTACAAATAAGATACAGAGTAAGAGAAATAATCAAAATAGACTGGAAAATCTAAAACATGCTTTAGAGAGTTCATAAAATTCCGAATTGGAAAAAGATGTTTTGATGTTTTGGATTATGCAAGGATTGCATATATATATATATATACACTTTAAAATAGTACTGAGACCTTACATTTAAGGCACTCTTCTTCAAGAAACTAGGTGTTTGGATAGTGTTATTATCCCAGTGTTACAGAAAGAAGAACTTAAACAGGGAGAAGCTGTGACTTCCTACCTCTGTACTGTAGGTAAGAAAGAGAGAAGAATTAGAATTAAGAGTGTGTTTCTGGACTCCTAATTGTGCTTGTGACACTGAATATTCATTCTTTTTTTATTCTTCTTTGCCATTGATCGTTTGCTTATTTATACTAATTTCAGAGTGTACTCTGTTCCTTGCAGGAATGATGATGGTACTGTCAACTAAAACAGTGCAAAAAGGGTATTTTTATGAGCTTGATATCACCAGCTGATAAGTAGGCTGAACTCAGGCTCCTGAATTTGAGTATTGAGTTTCAGATCTTTTTACTTCAAATGTTACATATTTAAAAGAAATCTGTTTGTGCATGCTTTCCTCTTATGATTTCAGATTACAATATAAATGTTAATGAAAGCAGAGTGAATTTCACTACAAACAGAAGTGCCAAATAAATACATAAAAAAACCTGATTCTTCTTTCAGTCATTCTTGTCATGTACAGCTATGTTTGGGCTTTCTTGTAACTCCAGTCAGTATAAAATCTCTGACAAATATAATTTTTAAATTGACACAGAATTAATATACAATATTTTATACACAGTAATTTATTCTTTTTTTTTCTCCTCTACAGGAAATAGGTCTTTCTCCATCATTCTGTATATAAATGGTGATAATTTCTATTGATTTTGTTCCCTATAATCAGGATTAATAACACAATAAAAACTACTCTTCCTTCAAGTCTTTTGTTAGCTCTGTTCTCCAGTCTGATTTTCTAACCATCTCTTATCTTTTCTGCTGCTGAAACCTTCCTGTTTAGATACGGTAAAATGTCTATCACAGCTCTTTCTGGTTTTAGGGAGTGCACAAACAACATTTCATTGCTGTTTGCTTGCTTGCAGATGATTTGTCAGCTGCTTTTCTATGTCTTATACCAGAGTATCTGAATTCCCCTCTGAGGTTTTGGGGCATATATTATAACTGATGCCATCCAGCTCTGCACCTCAGGTTTTACCGAAGATTTCATGAATCAGAAAATTCTAAAATCTTTCATTTGGCAAGTGATCTGAGGCTGCCATATATGCAAGAAAATGAAGTAAAATGCATCTGCCTTTTCTTATCTATTTCAAAGATGATCTGTGTCTTTCTTCACTTATCTGAGTAATTTTTCAGGCATAGTGGTTTGTTACTTGGAGTCAAACACTGAGTAGCACTTTAGATGAAGAAATGAATTTAAAATTGTTGTACACAGGTCAAGATTCAAAAGCTGAAACAAGTAATTTTCTACTGTAAAAGCAGATAGCTCAGGATGGGAATACACTTGTTGTCAGCTCTTTGGCCTAAGTTTGTTATTCTACTGTGGCTGGGTAGCAATGCCTGTTATTCCAGTTGCTTGACCCTTCTCACGATAAGATCTTGTTTTCAGTTATAGATAGTTTTACAGAACTTTAACTGTTTAGTTCAAGTTTTCCATGCCAGGTGTTTGCCTTAGGCATGAATTCTGGGGGAGAAATTTCAGTCAGAACAGCTCCATTCAGCCATATCCAAGAACAAGGCTAAGATGTAACACACTTTTTTCCCATGCTAAGAAGTTCTGGCAAATTTTCCTCTGAAGTCATCTAGAGGCCCTATATTCTGGGGCTCAGCCATGCACACACACACAGGGGGGAGGTTATGCCTACAGTGGCAGATTGAGGTCTGAAATGTCCTCAGTTTGGAACTTTAATTTTCTGTTGAAGCATTTTTTTCTGCATAATCTAGGACTGCTGCATATCTGTTAACTATTCAATCAACAGATTGTGCATAGCCTTCACAAATTTTCTCTGTGCTGCATTATAAGCTTTTCTCCCTAAAATTTGTTCAGTTATGAGCAGTTATCCCATTCTTTTCTGTTCTACAGGGATTGTTATAATGCATTTGTCATCGTCATATCTGAGTTCCTTCCACTAGTGCATTAAGCAATGCGTGTGACCTTCCTTACATGTAGCTTGTTCTTTCCCCTTCTTCCTCTCCCTGTGCATGTAGTGCACAATTTTTTGGGTTTGGAGGCTACTTAAAAGGCATATGCTACGCTGTGTTAGGTTTGGTATATTTGAGGCAGCATGTCTTTTTCTTGAGTGGTGGGAGTGTCCTTATTTTCTTTGGAAATTTGTTCCACAAAGCCACGTAAATTCCCTATGTGAAAGGTGAGCTTTATGATTACGAGGGAGAGTTCTGTTTCGCATCAGATGTGGACATTTTAATCATGGTTTTCATCACAGAGGCTTATGTGGACCTTGTGCAGGGTTGAAGCAATTAAAAGCTTCTAAAATAGAAACTGAAACCCTGAACAAGACTTAATACTTTTTTTAGGTAGTATAGGGAGCAAGGGGCAGTTTTCATGAATTTGCTGGAGAAAACATTTTCCTGCAGAGTTCTGTATTAGCTCTGAGTTTCTTATGAGGCTGATGGCGCTACACCCAGGAGTATTGCATTGTTTTAGTCTAGACAAGAGGTGACAAAAACATGAATAATAGAGGCCAATAAATTGCACCAGCGTGGGACAGAATCTCTTAGCCAACTGGAGGTAATACAAAATAGTACTCATGGGTACTGCTATGTGAGAGCTTAGCACCGAAGAGGAATCCAGGAACGCTTGTGGAGGCTGTGAGGGAAGGTGTGAGTGTACTCAGCAACAGTTCCATGATGCAAGCTCTATCAAATATTCATCATTGTTGAGGTCACCTATAATATTTTGGTGATGGATTATGCACTGAGAGGGATCAAAGTATGGGAACTCGCACTGCCCATTTAGGCCCTGTGGAGACTATGTTGATAGGGATGGGATTCTTATTACCTGATTTTAGATATTTGTATGGAAGATAGTCGTCTAGTGACTTTACAGTTAATGGAGAAAATTAAGCATTTGTAGGATCTAATTCATCAGACCTGTTTTAGGCATCTACGTTTGTTGTCTAATACATGCCTGTTTCTCTGTGGTTTAGAATTCTAAATACGGGTGAAGAGAATTCCCACCTCACATCTGTGTGACCTGTGTTCTTTAAATCTATTCTGTCGTCTCCTTTAAAGGTTCTTCTTGATTCGCAGAGTGTTAATTCAGGAGCAGGGTATGTCATGGACCACTCCAAGTGGAAGAATGATTGTCCCATTCATAAATGTCCTGGGCATTTATAGAATACCCATTGGCACTATACTCTGGTTAAATCCCAGAAATGGATGGAGTTGTATCTATCTGTTACTTCTTAAAGCTAACATCTTGCTATGTGTCACTTCCACAGTAAGATGATACTGCAGAGGAGTGCTACACACCACAAAAAAATACCTTTCTAATCAGTACTTCGTCCTAGCCCAAAAGAATGTTAGCACCAAAAAAAAGGGGACTGTTTCCCTATATGTAAAATTACGTTGCCATACCATAGCTCTTCCCTTCAGGCTAGTAGCCAGCTTCTAACAATTCTTGGAACTGGCCATGCCCCAAGTCTGTCTGCTAATCCCAGAGATAGTAGGTGCCCAAAAGCTGACTGTGCTTCTGAAAATCGTTACATGATTTAGCTACAAGCAGATGCTCTTGGCCTGACATTTGTCCTGGTTGTTTTCCAAACACTGAATTAATTACACTCTTGCTGTGGGGTGTGATCTCCATTTTTCTAGTTTTAGCCACCCATTGTATGGAACTTTTGACAAAACACAAATTGAATCTCCATGAATGCAACCACACAAATCTGAAAAATCTGAATTTTTCATTCTTCGCATTCCTTCCCTTCCTTCCAATGACTGTGAAAAAAAACTCCAGACAACATAAGAATAAGAGAAGTTTATGGGGGTGAAGGC